TTCGGCCTGGAAGCACGGTTTCGTTGATTTCTATGGTTCGTTGATGTTGGATCTCACAGCGCAAGGTAAAACGAACCACAAAAATAGCTTGTTCCTGCGGACATACTGCGAATTCGAATTCGTGTGTATGAGCTTAGGCAACGGTACCTCTTGCTGTCTGTTTTCTCTTCGCCTTCGTTGCTATTACGTTTCCCCTCCCTCTGCTTGTTGAACGCTTTCTCGTAAACCTTATCCATCTCAGTTTCGCCACGCTCTGTGTGTGTGACACTGTGATGAGTGGACCATCATTATTTTTGCACAACCCCCCCGGGGGGGGGGATAGCGTTGGAAAAAAAAAACTAAACGCCCGCGGTACGTCAATTCCCCCCCGGGGGGGTTGGTTTCAGAAAAAAAACGATCCCCTCTCCGGGGGGAAAACTCCGTAGTTTACGCTAGTCTGCCTTTCAAGAAGGGGCCTATTGCTATGCCCATGCAGCAAAACATGGGATGCGTGTAATCGCATCAAACCATTGCATTGCGCAAATCAAGGGAGGGATGCTGCCATCTAGAAGTTCCCGCCGCTGCAGGTGAACATCAACTCGGCGGAACAACAAAGCTGTTTCGTCCACACCTGTCATTCGTCCTGCCCCCACCCCTGTTCCCGACGCTTCAGATGGAAATCAACTCAAGCGAACACTCTCGTCTGCCCTGCCCCCCCTCCCTCCCCCCCGCACTTATATTACATGTTTTCCATATGCGTACCCCCCTTCGCTTTCCAGGACTCCCACATGTTCGGGCTGTCTCAGCTGTACCAGATGCGCGGTAGGGTCGGGCGGTCAGACGTTGCGGCCTACACGTACCTTCTCTACCCCCCAGGTCACCAGCTCAGCAACGAGGCCAAGCGGCGACTCAAGGCGATGCGAGAGCTTAGCCACCTGGGGTCCGGGTTCGAGCTTGCCAACCGAGACCTGGAAATCCGAGGAGCGGGAAACATCTTCGGAACGGACCAGGTGTGTGGCGTGCAGAAAATTGCGCGCAGGTTCCCCTTCCCCCCTCTTCCCTTTCGTTCCCTCTCTATTCCCCAAACCCCGGTTTGGAAGGGGAAATCTCGTTTTTCATGTCAGTTCAGGCCCGTAATCTGTGCCTCCCTATCGATGAAAGGGCATGTGGTAGACGTTTCGTGTTTTAGCGGCATGCCCTGTGTCTATGGCGACCGCTAAATCGCGTGGCACCACAACACTGCACCCCGAATACAAACAGCCGCTGGACCGGCCATAGCGGCCTGCCCTCAACACGACGACCGTATCCCCCTCCTGGCACCAGGGGTCTCTAAACAAGACCGACCACAACCACCGCTGTAATCCTTTGTACGGGCACCCATGACTGATGATGACGACGACCCTCTCCCCACCGCAACTGTTGGCACATCCTTTACGGCCACGTATGAATGATGACGACGACGACCGCGACCCTCTCCCGCCGACCGCGCTTCTTCCCTGCCGGACAACTACACCACGGTGTAATGTAGTCGGGGGACCTGAAAGACATCGGGTACGAGCTGTACATGAACATGCTGGAGAAGGCGATCGTGTCTGTGAGAGGGACGGACATCCAGCCCGTGCTACGCTGCGAGGTGGACATGGGGTTCGGGGATGAGCTTAAGGGCTCGGTCCCGGCGGACTACATGACTTGCGACGACGAAGAGGTGTGTGTGTGCTTTTTGTCTTGATTTGTTTAGGATCGATGGCGCGAGCCGGCTGACCAATGACAAGAAATCAACCTCAGCGTGGCTGAAACAGAAAGCGCTCCTCGAGGCCATGATCTGGGTGGGCGTCATGGGAGAGGCTAGGCTTCGGATAAGAGACAGTAACGGTGGTAGCACATGAAAAATAATGCACGTTTCTACCGCGCTGTTGTAGAGGTGTGTGTGTTGTGTGTTTCGCCCCATCTGTTCTCTGTTGCTCACGAATATGGGCCTTCTACCTCTACAGGTACGATTTTCGATGTACCCGAGAGAGATTGTCGAACTCGCACTGCTGCATGCCGCGAGTCAGACGTTTAAGAGTGTCGAGGGTGCCAACTGAACCCCCGGGATTATCGGTTGTACTTCGACGTTCGTTTTTTTCTCGGATGATTCAAGCGAGCCAACGAGCGCCTTCGACAGCTGCCCTGTGGTGTTGGTGTTGTTATTGTTTTCGTCCGTGTATGCCGCCGGTATGATTTCACAATAGTGCATGTGCCACGCCGGCAAGCGTTTAGCACAAGCTCCCTGGGGGGGGAAAGCTGAACAGTCGATTTGTATCGTTCGGGTTGAGCATTTGTTTTTTGGAACAAAACACGAGGTGACCTCGAGCACGATGCTTTTTCGCGACCGCTCTCCCTCTCTCTCTCTGTGTGTCTCGTACCTCTGTCTTCTATGCCTCTCGATTTCTCTCGCTCCTTTTGTCGTTTTTCCTTCTCCTTCAAGATCAGTAGTAGCCTTGTTCTCTCCCTCTCTCGCTCATTTTAATCTCCTCCCTCTCTCTCTCTTTCAATCTAAGTACGTTCCATTTCTCTCTGCCCCAAATTCCTTCCTCCCCCGCTTTTGTTCCCCGACGCACCGCGCAGCGAGAGCGGCAGATCGACCGCCTCCGAGTGTGCAACTCCTTCCGAGAACTCGTGCGCATCGCCAAGGAGTGGGTCAACTCGTACTCGGAGATGCCGGTAGCCGTCCGCCGGCTCTTCAAGCACACCCACCTCAACACCGCCTGCCGGCTGCTGGGCATCTCCTCGCTGTCCCTTGAGTTCCTCCCCGAGCGCGACGCCTCCCTCGGGGAGGCCGACGCCGCCGGGGAAGGGGGAGGCGACGCGGTTAACGGGGGGGCGGGGTGGACCGGGGCCGGCGCGAAGAAGCCGATGGTGGAGGACCTGGAGGCGGCGCGGGAGTCACACGCCGCGCAAGACCGAGAAGCCAGTGGCGGCGGGGGCTCCGCGGCTGCAGGTGTGGGGGGGTCCGCAGCAGCGTCGAGCGAGGGGGGGGGCGTGGCGACGGTGAACGGGCGCCCGAGCGGGGGCGGGACTCCGAAGCAGGTGGTGGCTGTCGACGCGGCGGCAGCAGCGGCGGCGGCGGCGGCGCCGGGGGGCGTCAAGTCGGGGGATCCGGTGAAGCTGGTACCGTTCGCGGTCATGAGGGGGCCGGAAGTGGAGCAGGAGCGGTGGGAGGTGAGTATGTTGTACTTCTATCTACGTGTGCGTGATCTGGTGAATTGATGATCCTCGGGATTTGTGTTATTTCTTGCTTCGTCGCCAGTTGGGGGGTGCGTTCGCGACGGACAAGTGTGCGCGCGCGTCCGTTTCGCCTGACGACCTGTTGGGGGGGGGCGGCGGGGGGGGGGGGG